GTGCAAGATGTCAGAGAGGACATTGTCCTTTTGAACTAAAGGACATAAGGTCCAAATAACATGGACAGATGTGCGCTGGCCATGGGTGGGAGATGCAGCATCCTCACGCTGTAAGCTCTTATCAATGTCCAGCCCTTCCCCCAGAGTCCCCCTCACAGGATTTCTCAGGACACATGACACGTTAACTCTCAGGTTTTGATGACAGGTTTGTGGGAGTAAAATGTTATCATAAACTATTTTGCTTTGATTGAAAAGAGAACTAACCTTGGGTTACAAGACACAATTGTATTTGACAAAAAAATCTCTGAGTGAAAGTTTTTTATTTTGTTAATCCTCACCCAGGATATTTTTTTAGCTTTATTTAAGTTTTGGTCTTTTTATCTTTTTATTGTCTAAAGTTTTACATATGTCTCCTTTTTCCTCTCCCTGCCCCCGCCCCCCACCGTGTACCCTCCCCCCCCAGCAGCCATTCCCACCCTGGGCAAGCACTCACAGCCCCATTGTCTGTGTCCGTTGGTTATGCTGATATGATGCATACAAGTCCTTTGTTGCTCTCTAACCACCCCAACCCCCCAATGTCCCCTTTCATTTGTCTCTGCATCTATTTTGGTTCATCAGTTTATGTATTTTTTTGTCATTGATTTTTAGAGAGAGTGGAAAGGAGGCAAAGAGACAGAGAGAAACATGGAGGTGAGAGAGACACATTGATTGGTTGCCTCCCACCCATGGAACCTGCACTGGGAATTCAACAGCTGACCCTTAGGTGGGCGGGCCACTGTTCTAACCATTGTTCAAACCACTGGCCTGGACTAATTTGTTATATTTTTAATGTCCATGTGTAGTTGGTTATTATCTGCTTGGTTATTATCTGCTTGATATGAGAAGAAAACAGTATGTAATCCTTGTTTCATAAATGTAGTATTTTCTCCTACCTCCCTGAAAACTTACTCAAACTTCTTCTATTTCTCATCATTGCTAGTTGAATAGGTTTGAATAACTTTTTTTTCATTTGTTTTTACTTTGGTTTCTAACTTTCCAATTCAATGCTTTCCTGGTCAGCCCCAACAGTTTTCTTCATATGTAAGAGCAAATCACTAAATTTTGGGCTGGTTTATGCCAAAAATTACCACCGTAAACAAGTATACTTAGAGAGAGGAAGGGAGAGGGTTAGAGAGATAGAAATATCAATGAGAGAGGAGCATCATTGATCAGCTGCCTCCTGCACGCCCCCTACTGGGGATTGGGCCAGCAACCTGGGCATGTGTCCTGATCAGGGATCAAACCTGAGACCTCTGGTTCCTGCGCTGACACGCAACTGCTGAGCCACACCAGTCGGGTGCAAGAATACTTTACTAAGGAACAGAATCAACTGTTTATTAACAGTTCAAATGCTGACTAGCATCTGTCAGCCTGGTTGGCTGGTAGACTAGTTGATTCTGTTCTAAGATGACTGGGCGGAGACCTGGGCCTCCCAGATGCCAGTCCTCTGTTTTGCTGGGACCAAAGGTTCTCTAGAGATGGATCCTCAACCTCCTCCTGGGGTGACCCCGACTGCAGGAGGGAGAGGACGGCCTGGGACCTGACCGTGTATCCAGCCTCCTGGCTCTCACCACCTTCCTCTGAGCTGGGTGACCCTCTTCAGCTCCTGCCAAGATCTGAGTTGCCTGGGTCCCTCACGTTCAAGGCGGCCCCATCTGCATGTGTCCTGCACAGTGAGGTGGCTTCACCCAAGCACCAGAACAGGGGGTTGCACTTCTCCCCAAGCCCCTCTTCTTCATCCCCTCCATCTGATTCCCAGCGGCCCCTCACCGATGCCGTCTCCTCCTTCTTTGAAGTGAGCTGATACCGTGCATTTGTCTGCTGCTGTGCTGTCACTGAGGCTGGGTCTAGGAGGATGGGCACGTTAGCTGGGCCGTTCCCTCCCTGCATCACTGGACGGCCACTAGGTTCCCATTCCCACAGCTTTATGGTACCAGCTGCCTAGTTTGCCTCACTCTGCCCTGTGGCTTCCTGGAACACCCCCACCTGTATTTTCCTCCTCAAAAACTTGGCGTCACTTTGAATGTTCCAGACTTGCCTGCAGTTCACATTCTATTGGGATTTTGGAAGAGTTGATATTGGATGACACCGTCTCCTGTTAACAACATTGAATGACATTTTATTTCGTGTGAGTGTCCTCCTCAAGGAAGTTTTGTGGTTGTCACGGACTCTAGATTAGGAATGTATGGACCTGGCCGTGAATGGGGTCTCTACCATATTGCATCGCATTAGCTATCCCTGGGGTTAAAGATGAGTTTCTCCTTCCTTCTCTCCTGATTTGTGTGTAAAACATTTGTCTTCCATCTAGACACATTGGGAAACTTAATCTTCAAACCTTTTCATTGAGGCTTTTGGCTCTTCTGGGAAGATCATATTATCTGCCAATGATAGTCATGACATTTCCCCCCAGACCCTCAAACCTCTTGTTTCTGTTTCAGGCAGATCTGCTCCTAATGCCCAAATGCTGTCTTTTCCCAGGTCTGGCCCAGCTGGTTATCGCCCAGCCTGGTGCCGGGAGACGGGAAGCCTGGGTCCAGCATCAGGGTGGGCGTTGGGGCCTGTGGCCTCTCGCTGACACCTCTGTGACTTGCCTTCCTGTCATCTGGGCTGAAACCAGCCCCAAACCCACATCCAGTGTTGAGGTGGGTGAAGGTGGGGCTCTGTCCAGACCAGAGGCAGAGAGGGAGGAAGCCCCCTTATCACCCAGAGGTCTCGCTCCTGGGCCTGTGGGACTTGCTGGGTCTGGGAGCCCAGCCCCTTCCCTCCTGGGTGCTCGCTCCCCCATCCAGGGGTCCCCCTGGCCATGTTGGATCCTGGTTGTTTTCTGTTGAGATCCCCAGTGTCCCCTGAAGATTCTGATTCTGGGTGCCCCCGGAGACACCAACATCTCAGCAAGGATGACAGGGACTCTGGCCCAGGAGGGAATGATGGGTTTCTAGAGACCTGAGCTCATCTAGGTGCTGCAAAGCATCCCTTGATGGTCTCCTCACTGGGCTCACGGGGCACAGAAGACCAGGCAGTGGTTCAGGAGTGTGGAACCCCTCTTCCTTCTCCTCTCAAACCACTGTCTGGTCCGGTCCCATGCTTGGTGGAGAATGATTCTCAGAATGTCAAAGGGCAGAAAAGTCTGTCCCTTGTCGGTAGCCGGCCTCTGCCTGGGATTGAACTTGGGGGACAGAGCTCCTCCATTCAGAAAGCAGGGAGTGTGAGAGGGGGGTTGGTTCTCAGTGCTGTGGGGGTGTAGGCGTGTGCAGGAGGTGAGGAGAGGTGAGAACTAGCACTAAATTGGCACCTCTCACACCCTTTGCTGTGTATTTTGACAAAGCTTGATCATGCATAGGATGTATGAGGACAGCTGAGCAGATGTCTGAGTGCCCTGGGGCGGCCGTTACAGATGCCACAGACCTGGAGCTTTAAATAAAACTTTATTCTGTCACAGTGTTGGAGGCTGGAAGTCTACAATCAAGGTGTCAGCAGGTCCCACAACCTCCAAAGGCTCCAGGGAAGCTGCCTCCTCCATCTCATGGTGTTGCTGGCAAACTCTGTCTGCAGGTCCAGCGAGTCTATCCTTTTTGGGGGACACTGTGAGCCTCAAAAGAAGGAGAGGATAGAGCGCACTGGGCATGCTGCTCTCCTCCCCCCTCCCCCCGCCCCTGCTCTTGCCTCAGGTGCCAGCCCCCATCCCATCCGTGCCCTGCTCTGTGTTGTTTCAGAGCATCTGATTATTTATCATTTATTTAGTTCCTCACTGAGGACATGCTTATGGATTTTAGGGAGAGGAAGGAAGAGAGATGTGAGAAACATCGGTCGTTTGCCACTTGTACGTGTCCCGATCAGGGAATGAACCCTCATCCTAGGTATGTGGTCTGACTTGGAATTGAACTTGAGACCCTTCAGTGTACAGGACGAAGCAAGGCATCTCTTTTCTTTCTTTTTCATGTGCAAACTGTCATCTTACCACTGAAATGTCTCCAGACCAATATTTTTATTACTTTTATTTCTTGTTAATCCTCACGCAAGGATATTTTTCCATTGATTTTTAGAGAGAGTAGAAGGGAGAGGGAGAGACAGAGGGAAATATTGATGTGAGAGAGACACATTTGTTTGCCTCCTGCATGAACCCCAACCAGGGTCGCGGAACGTGTAACCAACGTATGTGCCCTTGACCAGAATCGAACCTGGGACCCTTCATTCCACAGGCTGACGCTCTACCCACTGAGCCAAACCAGCTAGGGCTCCAGCACCAATACTGAGTGTCTTCTCAGAGAGGAAACACCATGTTTCTTATCTGATAGCTGTTCTGCTGGTCACCACTGGTCCCACTGAAGAGATAAGCCCCGCCTCCTCCCATGGCCCACCCCAAAGGAGGGCGGCTTCCCCTTGGTTCTGTCTGGCAGGAGAATAAAGGGGCTCAGAGGGTCCAGGACAGAGGCAGACAGACCTGGCATGGTGAGGACACTGCTCAAAGCCCCATCCTCTCCCTTCCCAGGCTGTGTCCCCGCCCTACATCTCCTCACTGGCTCTCCTCCCGGCCCTCTCCCCCTGCAGATGCTGTGGCTGCTGGTTCTGACTCTCCCCTGTCTGGGGGGCTCCGTACCTGTGACCTCAGGTGGGTTCTGTCCCCCAAGCCTGACTCTGACCTCTCAGAGGCCGCCCCTGGGATGGGTGGCGATCCCCCTCTGAAGGTGGCTCTGGGAGGGACTGAGGATGGGTCCATGCTGAGTGCAGGGCAGCGGTACCTGGGTCCCTGATGGCTCCTCCTCTGCTTCCCCAGATCCCGGCCCAGGGACTGAGCTGGTGGGCATCGTGGGGGGGCATGATGCTGCCGATGGGAAGTGGCCGTGGCAGGTGGGCCTGTGGGTCTTCAATCCAATAAGTTCCCTGTGGAATCTCACCTGTGGAGGCTCCCTCATCCATCCCCAGTGGGTGCTGACCGCTGCCCACTGCATTCCAGAGTAAGTATGACTCTGCCAGCACCTGGGGGGGGCGGGTGAGGACAGTGTCGGGAGGCATGTGATGTGTGTTGGGGGACAGATGCTGGGCTGAGCGGCTGCAGACCTCCCACCAGGATTCAGCTTCCTGGTGCTCCCCTTGCCCACCACAGAGGGAGGTCTCTGGGCTCTGAGGGGCTGGCCCACTTCCTGCCACAGCCTCTCAGAAGTCTTTGGCCTTCTGTCCCCAGGAGAAACCCAGAGACTCGGCACATTAAGGTCCAACTAGGACAACTGAGACCCTCATACAGTGACAGTGTGCAGGTGGCTAGGATCATCTGCCACCCCAACTACAGCCTTGGGCAGGGACCAGAAGGTGGGGCGGACGTGGCACTTCTCAAACTGGAGGCCCCCGTGCGACCATCTAACCTCGTTGGGTTGATCAGCCTCCCGCCAGCCTCCTCCTCATTCCCCCCAGGCACACGGTGCTGGGTGACTGGCTGGGGTGACATTGCTTCTGGAGGTGAGAACCAGGTGGGAGTGGGAGGAGGAGACTGAGGGCGATGCAGGGGGCGGGCCAGGCTTTACAGAGGAGGCTCAGCTGGGGTCTGAGCTGGGGTCCCTCCGGGGTCCCCCTTGGGTGTAGGAGGCAGACAGCATGAGAGGAGTCTGTTAAGGAGCGGAGACCAAAGTAGCAAGAGTGAGGCCTGGCCATGGGCATCTTTTTAAAATAAATATCACCCAGGGATATTTTTTCCAATAATTTTTAGAGAGAGTGGAAGGGAGAGTGATAGGAAACATCGATGTGAGAAGCATATCGATTAGTTGCCATTCCTGCCCGGGCTGGGGATTGAACCTGCAACCCAGGTACTTGCCCTTGACCAAGAATCAAACCTGGGACCCTTCGGGTAAGTGCTCTCACCATGAGACACACTGGCCAGGGTGCCATGGGCATTTCTCTCCCTCACTCTGCACAAGGCCATGCCCTCCCTTCCGGGGGTCCCTGTTCTCCCTGAGTCTCGATAGTGGGATGGAGAATGAGGAGAGAACTTCAGTGACGTGCTCCAGGATTCACTATTAAATGGACAAAGTCAAATTTGACAGTAGGGCCGCTCACTCTGCATTTCTTGGGGGAAAGCACTTGCTCTGATTTATCCCAATAAAAATTATTTGTGGATAAAAATATATTTCTCTGTTTCTTTTTGGAGCTTGGTGCCCACAGTGTCAGCCTAGAGATTATCAGCCCATGGGCCTTGAGTGAACCCAGAGAGTTGGGGTCTTGGGTGACTCCCAGGGTCCCCCTGGGGGCACTGAGGCTCAGCGTGTGGTTCTAGAACCCGCGGCCTGTGACTGTCCACCCCCTCAGGACCACAGGCTCACTGGGCTTCTTCTCACAGTGCTGCTGCCGCCGCCCAAAAATCTGCAGGAGGTGGATGTCCCCATCGTGGCGGATGAGATCTGTTGGTGGCAATACCTTAGGATCAACAAGGTTATCACGGACGACATGCTGTGTGCCGGGAGCTGGGGCCTGGACTCCTGCCAGGTGAGACCCCCAGACTGTGGCCTCCGTCCGTTGCTCCTGCCTGCAGGGGCCCTGAGTACTGACCACCTGTCTCCTCTTCCCACAGGGTGACTCTGGGGGCCCCTTGGTCTGTATATGGAGGGGCACCTGGGTCCAGGTAGGCGTGGTGAGCTGGGGGGAGGGCTGCGGTCTTCCCAACTTTCCTGGAGTCTATGCCCGGGTGACATCCTTCTTGCCTTGGATCCACCATCATATTCATTCCTCTCCTTGAGCCCGGGGCCGGGCAAGGATGCTGCCCATGAGATGAAGACAGGCCCTCCAGGGTGCCTGGGGGACCCCTCCCTGCTCCCTCCCAGAGCCAGCTCTTCATTGCACCTAGCGCTCCTCCAACCCCGCTGCCCCCACCTGCTCTGAGATCCTCCTGCCTCAGCACCTCCATCAGCCTCTCTCCCCTGACAGGCAAAAGGGAGAGGTGGGATGTGTTCTGAGGACTCCTGCCTCCTCCCCACCCTCTGTAGCTCATTAAACTGCATGAAAAACTGCTTTGGACTCAGTGGACTTACCTGTGGGCGTGGCCAAGGCGGCCAGTGGGTGGTGGTGCTGCTGGGGGAGCCCAGGCTCTGGGAGGGGGACCAGGTGGGATGGGCAGCTATGGCTGCAGCTGGAAGAGGGCGACCTGGCGGCTCTCCTGGCTGGGGTGGAGGTGAGTCTGCTGCCCGGGGCTGGAGGCCACAGCCCGGAGGGCCGCCCCCCATAGGGTGCAGACCTTCCCTCCTTCCTCCTTTCAGTGGCAGTCAGTGTGTCCATGGAGGCTTTAATGACTTGGACGTGGCCGCATGCAAACAGGAGGTGCTGTGTTTCCATGGTCACCACTGCTCCCCTCTGACCTGCGGGCGCCGAATCCCCATTTTCCAATGTGATCAACTCCTGGGACCAAATGAAGTGCAGCCTCATTTCCACCCAGATCCTCAGTCTCCCACTCTGAGCTTCTCCGGAGCAGGGCAGACCTGCAGGGGCCCGGGACCAACCAGTCCCCCTCTTTCCGGCCCCACCTTCCTGTTCCCTGGTCCGGGTTGTTTGGAGGCAGCAGAGAGGAGGGTGGAGAGGGGACCCCCATCCTCCCGAGGCCGCTGAACTGGCGCTGGCGCCCCTGCTGGAGAGGCACCGAGGTGCACCGTCCCCTCTGGCTCCGCAGAGCCCCTCCTTTCTCCCCGGGGGTGGGAGGGGCTCCCAGTGGTCAGAGGAGCTTCAGTTTCAAAACCAGGGAGTGAGAAGGGGCTGTGGAGCCCCTCCTGCCCCAGGCAGTGATGTGTACTTCCTGCTGGAGTAGGATTTGGGGGGCATGCCTGGTGCCCGGCTGGGGTGGGTCCTGCACCTGAAGGTTGGGGCCAGGACCCAGGAGGGCCTGTGGAGCCAGAGGCGGCTTGTACTGTGGGTGAGGGCGCTCCATACCCTGCAGCGACAGGCTGGTCCCCAGTCTGATTCTACAATGGGGTGGCGGCCTTCCAGACCTTTCAGTGCCAGGACCCCTGCCCCTCGAGACCAGGGTGGAACAGCCCTCCTCTCTCACTGTGACCCGGTCCTTAGGGGAGGCCCTGACTCCGAGTTAGGGAGAGTGGAAGCTCCAGGGCAGGCGGATCAGCAGCTGTGTCCCCCATGTGCCCGGGACTGAAGTCTGTGTTCCTGGCAGCCAGGAGCTCTCCAGGAAAGCCTTTTCCTAGGAAAATGAGGACTGAGACTCAGCTGGAAGGCACCACCATGCAGATGGCCCCCGTTGGGGATCTGCTCCGCCCAGGGAGGGAGGAGGGGGTGACACAGCACAGCCTGGCCCTGATCCCTCGCCCTCCGGGTTCAGGCACACGTTCTGCCTAAGTGACTGCCTGTCCACGATGCCCAGGGGGTGGGCGGCTGCCAGGTGGTCCACACACATCCAGGTCCCCTGTGCCCGCCAGGAGGGTGTGGGCTGCCTGCCTTGCCATTGGGCTCTGGGGACTGAGTCTTTGTAGGGCTTTCCTCCCTGGGTGAGGGTGTAGTCAGACATTAGTGTTTCCAGGGTTAAGAATGAGGGTTTGAGTGACTCAGAGGCCAGCGCTCCCAGGGGAGTGAGAAGGACCTAGAACTTGGTGTTGGAGGGAAGGCTGGAGTGAGACTCACCTGGGCCTGGGGCTGTGTCTGCAGGCATGGACACGGGGTGGACCCACAGGGCTCTCTCCAGGGGATGGGCTCAGGGCTGTCCCCCCTCCCCCAACCTCACTTGTCTGGAATCACAGCCAGAGCACCTGGCTTCCTGGCTCAGCTGTAAGACAATGTGGGCGGAACCAGATGCCTGGGTGGAGATTGAGGAGCAGGGCATGTTGCCTCTTTTCTCTGAAATCTGTTCTGACTGAGTCCTGGGCCTGTAGTGGTGGGTGTCACCTAGCCAGCAGGGCTGTGTCCCCAAAATAAACCCCTGCAGGGCGTGGTCAGTGCCCATGGGCACCCTGGGGAGGGCCCACAGGCATTGGCCTCTTCCCCTTGTCTGAGGTGAGAGAGACACCTTCAGGGTTTGGAATGGAGACTCCATGAGGGCCATGCCCTTCCAGGTGGACATCACACCTCAGTCACCACCAGGCTCTCCCCCTGTGTGGTGTCCTGGGGTCACAGTGACAGCCCCCGACTGGGGAGTGTGAGCTTAAAACAACACAAATGCATCCTCTTACCGGCTGGAGGCCAGGAGCCCGCAATCAAGTCTTTCTGGGGCCACAGCTACTCCCAGGCTCCTGCCTCCTGCAGCTGCTGGTGGTGCTGGGACCCTTGGTTGGGGAGGATCCTCTGGACCTCCAGCCCGTCCTCCCCACCCCTCTGTGCTCTCCGCATCCTCACCTCTTCCTACAAGGAATAGTCATTGCATTTAGGGCCTCCCCCCCTCCACTCTTACCCCATCTGAACTGGTTGCATCTGCACTTATTTCTAAAGCAGGTCAGGTTCTGAGGGACCGCACTGGTCCACACTGACTCCCTCACTGGTGAGGTTACAGGCCACCAGGCTGTGTGCTCCTGAGAGGGGAGCGCGCCCCTGAGGAGGCAGGGGCCTGGCCACAGGAAATCTTTAGGATTCCCACGGCCCAGCACCCAGGGCCCCCATCAAAACAACAGGCCAGTGAGGGCCTCTGCCTCTCTCAGGGAAGCAGCGTGCTCCCCACCTCACGGTGCCCTCCAGCCCGTGACACTGGCCCCACAACAGGCTGCCGGCTCTGAGTGGTCCCAGCGCTGGACAGGACTCTGCTGCAGGTACAGGCTGCCCTGGCCTCACAGGACGTAGCAGACATGATGGTGGTAAAAGTATTGGTGATGGGCAAGCCCCACCGGGGGCAGGACAACACAGGCCATGCAGCCTGCACTGAAGACTATTCCTGAGATGTGAGTGACAGCTGGTGTCTGGGTACATTGCGCTCCTTGTGTCTGGAGGCCAGGGAGCAAGACGTGCCACCATCTTGGTGGGACAATGACACTGAGCACCAGGCAGAGGCAGGGCTGCTGTGTCACAGTGGGGGGCAGGGAAGGTGAGGGCCCTTGGGTGTCCCTTGCTACCCCCTCGTCAATGTGATGGCAGGTGGACACGTGCAGCCACCTGACCTGAGAAGTCCCTGTGACCAGAGCTCAGCCCCTCAGGGGTAGGGGTCTGGGTCGTGCTACCAGGTAAGTCCCAGAGTCCCAGTTAGCAGCAAAGGGTGGGATCCAGGTGGACAGTGGAGGGGCCCTGTCGGCCTCAGTTGTACCCTGAGCCTCTGCTTCCCAGTTTCCTGGGCAGGGACTCCTCTGTGGTCCTGCGGCCGCCTCCTCAGCACACGAGGCAGAAGGCGGTGGATGCTGCCGGACACAGATACCGGCCAGGTCCCCCTTCAGGACAGGACCTGATGGGAGGCCTGGCAGTTCCTCTGGCTGTCTCGCCCCGGCAGGTCCCTCTTGGCTAGCACAGGGAGAGGCAGGGCTGGCACTGTGTCCCAGTGGGGTCGTGGCCTGGGTCTCCCTGTGGGCTGGTCAAGGTGTCATCAGCCTGCATTGTGCTCCAGCCTCGCCCTCTGCCCCAGCTTTGCTCCATCCACCTGCCTCCCAGGTGCCTCTCCCTGACTTGTACCCACAAGAAATCCAGGCTGCACTGCACAGCCAGGTGGCCCCTGCCTGCCCTTCCTGTGCCAGGGGATGAAGGGGTGCAGAGAGGGTTTTCCGTGCAGCTTCTGGAGAGCACCCTGCAGGGGGCAGTGTGCAGGACCTCAGCAGGCCACGTGCCAGGCAGATGGCATGCTCTAGTCAGATGGTGACGAGCTCCACGCTGCCTCACAGGGTCCAGTGGATTCAGGGGCTGCCCTGTGGCTCGAGGGGCCCAGCATCAGCTCTGGGGCTCTGCCTGCCTGGGCCCAGCTGCCTGGGCCCAGCGCTCTGGGGCTTCTTCCAGCAAAACTGCATCCTCTTGGCAGCTCTCCTTGCTCAGGCCGCTGGTCTGGCTGTGCTTTGTGGCTGAGATCCGTGCAGCCAGAGATGGCTGCTGCCCAGTGACAGCCGGTAGCAGGTCCGGGGGAGGCAGTGCCAGGGCCCAGCAGCTCCTCGCCGCCTGCTGACTGACCCCCGACCTGGGTGGGCCTGAGAGAGGAGCAGCTCCCTCTGCCCATGGCCCAGCCAGGGGCCCCTGCCTGCCCTTAATGTGCCAGGGGATGAAGGGGTGCAGAAAGTGTCCCAAGGAGGGTCCCTCCAGGTGAGGATGCCCCTGCTCAGACCCCGGCTTCTCCATCCCCACACGGGGACCCCGGCCCCTGGTCGTCTCACCCAGACCCCTGCCATCCCCGCAGATGCTGTGGCTGCTGTTTATGAGTCTCCCAGGCAATTGAGTGGCCTTAGCATATCATTAGCATATTATACTTTGATTGGTTGAACAGATCACCAGATGACCAAACACTTATCACATTAGGTTTTTATTATCCTATATAATAAAAGGCTAATATACAAATGGACCAAACAATGGAACAACTGATTGCTATGACACGCACTGACCACCAGGGGACAGATGCTCCACGCAGGAGCTTTCCCTGGTGGTCAGTGTGGTCCCACAGGGGGAATGTTGCTCAGCCAAAAGCTTGGCTCACATCTGGCGAGGCGAGCACAGTGGTGGTGGTGGAATCCTCTCCCACTTTTGTGGCAGGCGGGTGGTGAGGAGTGAGAAGTATGGACTTGGAGACTTGGAGAGGGCACAGGCTGGGCTGAGGGACAACCTCCCCTCCCTGAGTGCACAAATTTCATGCACCAGGCCTCTAGTATAGGATAATAAGGTCCTGAA